ATGTGTTGTTGACTTTTCCATCAGGGCTTAAGATGGCAGCCACTGGTATTTCATCGATGAGTACCAGGGATCCAAGTAATTTTGTTTGTTAGTATTACTGTCCTACTTGGTTTTCATATGCATGCATACTATCAAAACGGGTAGGAAGTGGTTGTGTTGTATTAACTTTCCTGGCCTCAATTACTACTTGCAATAGCATAAGCATTTCTACATGTCTAAGGTTTAAAAGCCTGTTTTATGAAACAAGTCATTTGTTATCCCTGAAGTTTTAAATTGATATATTTACTACACGCAAGTAGAAGGAGGGGAATGATGAAAATTAAAGTAGAAGAAAATCAACAACAACAACAAAAAACAAAGAATGAAATCAAAAGTTGGTTCACTGAAAAGGTGAAAAAAAACAACAACAACCATTTAGCTTGACTGACCAAGAAAAAACAAAAAAAACTATACAGATTCTGACAATCAAGAATAGAAGTATTAATACTGACCTTATAGAAATCAAAAGGAATACATTCTGAACAACATTCTGCCAAAAATTAACTTGGACAAAATGGAAAAATTCCTTGAAGACAAATTACTGAAATAGGACTATAGCATGAAAAGGGATTTAATTAGTCATTTAAAAACTCCCCACAAATACAAGCCAAGCCAAGGTGGCTTCGCTTGCAAATTCTACCAAACATTTAAGGAAGAAATAATACCAACACTTAGCGATGTCTTCTAGAAAATAACGCGGGAAGAAACACTACCTCATTCTGTGAGGCCAGTATTACTCCGTTATCAAAGCCGGATAAATATATCACAAGATATATATGCCTGTCAGCTCCAAATTCACCCTTTTATCCCGCAGAGTGAGAAGGTTCTGCGTTCCTCTGCCTATGTGCGCGGTGCAGTTGATACAGAAGGCCGCCTTTAGAGGGCGCCAGAGTCAGCGAAGGGGAGCGCTCCTCTTCCTCGGTCTGTCTGGGCTGGCGCGCTTGGTCCTGCTGGGTTCGAGGCTTCTCCTCTGGACTCTGGTGCCCCCAACAGGTTCCCAGTGGCCGGCAGCTTCCCTTCCTTCCGTCTGCCTTGGTCACTACGGGATCTGTGCTTCTGGTGAGTCGCGACCCAGGCACATCACTCCCAGGTGCCCTAGGGGGCACATTTCCCACAGTTCTCAGAGGGCACTTTGCTAGAAAGCTCAACCGGGGGGGAGGAGCCACAACAGTTTCACTGCCATTTTGTGATGTGACGCTTCCGCTTCTCTGGCAAGGTCAGGGCTTCAGGACTGTGAGTGGAGCAGTTTTTCCCTGAATGCTTTCATTTCACCCCGGAAAGGCTCCTTTGTCCTAGGAAAGCCTCTTTTCTGGGGTGCTCTCCGTCGGGTGTGTGGTACGGATCACTGGGCTATGTGTTCCCGCTCTGAGGACACCGCCGTGGGAGCCTGTGTTGGCCGTGGGGGAACATTTTACTTCGGCACCCAGTCTCAGCTATGTTGTGGGACTGGGGGGTTTTCTCGGGGGCTCTCTCTAGGTGATGCGAGCGACTTTTTCTGCTGAAGTCACCTGAACCAGGACGTAGGGATCCTGCCTTGGTTGCCTGTGTCAGCCTCGGGTTTAGGGGTGTGTCTTCCCCGCTCAGTCGCAGCCCTGAGGGGAGACTCTGCCTTGTGGACTCTGCCCGTGCTCATGGGCCGGGGTGGGGGTGTCTGTGCCCCAGACGCACTATCACCTCTCTGTGGGGTCACTGTCGTGGGCTTTATCTCAGCCCGCGAGGGACTCTTCTTCGAGCGCTGATGTCCTCTGTGGGGTGCATTTGTCTTTGGATGTTGCTCATGCTCAGATAAGATGTGTTGGCCTTTCTTGGGTTCTGCTCGTCCCGGATGGGGATGCTTACCAAATGCTTTCCCTTGGTGCTGGTTTTTTTAATTATCTCTGGGTGCTGTCTCCCGGTGCTGCGGGGGAGTGGGGTGCTTGTTCCTTGGATTCTCTAAGCCTACGGTGGGACACGGGGAGCTCTGTGTCGGCCATGAGGGAGGCCACCTGACCCTGGGAGCTCTGTCCCGCCCCGGATTGGGGTGCTTTTCCTCCATTGGTTGATCTCAGTTCTGAAGGAGCTCTTCCCCGGCATACTATCTGACCTTTCAGCTACAGCCTGGGGTGTCTGTGTGGGAGTCGGTGTACAGAAATATTCGAAGATTCCAGCTGTGCCACATTCACACACTCGCTGTACAGTTAATCTTTCATTCCAGTTGCTCTGATGGGTGTGCAGTGGTCTCTCCTTATGTCTGCACTTGAATTTCTCTGCCGATTGAGATTGAGCACATCTTTTAAAAAATTGTTTTAATTAATTAATTTATTTACTGTTTATTTATTGATTGATACTTGTTTTTGTTTTGAAATGGGGTCTCCCTCTGCCTCCCAGGGTGGATACAGCAGCACTTCCACCTCCCGGGCTCGAGCAATTCTTGTGCCTCAACCTCTGGAGTACCTGGGACTACAAGCATGCACCGGCAAGCCCGGCTAATTTTTGTAATTTTTTTACGCAGAGAGGGGTTTTGCCAAGTTGCCCTGGCTGGTCTCGAACTTCTGGCTTAAGCGATTCACCTGCCTCAGCCTCCCAAGATGCTGGGATTACAGGTATGAGCCACCAATCCCAGCTGTTTATTAATGGTTTGGGAGCACGTTTTTATGTATTTATTGTCATTTAACTGTGCCCTTTAGGAGGTTCCTTTTCAAGCCTCTACCCCCAAATTTTACTGAGATGTTTTTACTTTAAAAATGGATTTACATATATTCCGGATTTCAGTTATACGCACATACACACAGGCATATATGTACATAGATAAAATACACATGTAATTTTAATGTCTTCTATAAATCTGTTTTGCTTTTACACTGTCTCGATAAAGTGTTTTTGATGAACAGACTCTTAATTTTATTACTCAGTGTATTATTTATGGCTACTGCTTTTTATCATTTTAAGAAAAATCTTTGCCTTGCCCAATGCCATGACGATTATATTCTGTTTTCTTCTAGGTCTCAAATTCATCTCAAATAAATTCTCGTTGAATGGAGTAAAGCCAGAGTCTGGGTGTGTTTTACGTGTTTATTAGAGTCATATTTAAGTGTGACAGTCATGAAGTGTGTATTCAGCTCCCCCTCAAGTTTTATTGGGATGTTTGTTTCTTAAAAATTGAAGTGTAGTTCTGGATATGTTGTGCATTCCACTTGTTTTTTGTCATACATACATACATACATACGTATATATATGTGTGTGTGCTTGTGTGAGTGTGGTTAATATATATTTTTACATATAACCTATACAATCTAATCTGTGATATGTAATCTACAAATATACTTTGCTTTTTCACTGTCTTAGTAGTGTCTTTGGAGGAACAGAAAATTTCCATTTAATTATGTCAAATTAAACAATTCATTCTTTATGGTTAGTGCTTTTGTATCCTCATTAGAAACATCTTTGCCTATTCTATAGTTCTGAAGATAATATCTCAAGTGTTTTACTAGATTGTCTCTCCATCTTTAATAATGGTTTTTGGAGCGGATGAGATAAGAGTCAAGGTTTATATTTTCCCTGCATTTATAAAGTGCATTTATTAAAACACAGCCCTTTCCACAATGATTTACAGAATCTCTTTTGTGGTAAATCTCGCTCTTTTGTGTTTCCAGACTCTGTGTCCTCTTCCTTTGGTGTATTTGTCTGTCATTGCTCCAATACTACACTGTTTTAATTACTCTACCCTTACAGTAAATCTCATATATAGTAGCGTATATCTACCAAATTAGTTCTTCTTCTTACAGATTGTCTTGGCTTTTCCCAGTCTTTAATTCCCATATACTTTTTTCTTTTTTATTTTTTTAGACAGCGTCTCACTCTGTCACACAGGCTGGACTGCAGTGGCACGATCCTGATTCACTGCAACCTCTGCCTCCTCAGTTCAAGTGCTTCTCCTGCCACAGCCTCCAGAGTAGCTGGGACTACAGGCATGAGCCAGCATGCCCAACTAATTTTTCTGTTTTTAGTAGAGACGGGGTTTCACTATGTTGGTCAGTATGGTCTCAGTCTCTTGATGTCGTGATCAGCCTGCCTCAGCCTCCCAAAGTGCTGGGATTACAGGCTTGAGCCACCGCGCTGGCAATTCCCATATACTTTTTAAAAAACTATCAGCTCGTCAGTTTTTGGAAAATTTATTTTTCATGGTGGAATTTTAAGGAAGATTGGCATGATCATTCAGGGAGAATTAACAGTAACATCTCTTAATAATGTCTTTCATTCCATGTAAAGAATATTTCTTCCATTTACTGCAGCCTTGAATTTCTCTCAGTGATGTTTTATAATTATTGTGTAGTGCTCCAGCACATCTTCATTAGATTTATTCCTAAGTATTTGATGTTTCTGGTGCTGTTTTTAATGACATTTGAAATTTCATATTCTAACTATTTGTTTCTATTAGTTATAAAGAAATACCAGTGGTTTTTATTATATCTAGTAACTTGACTAAGTTTGTTTATTAACCCTAATGATTTTATTCTTTTACATTGTCTATGTACAGAACAGTGTTGTATGTGAATAATAACAGTTTCATTTCTTTCCAGTTTTTAAACCTATTATGTCTTCCTGATGCCACTGCACTTCTTAGATTCTCCAGTAAATTGCTGAATGGATAGTTGATATTTTTGTCGTGTTTCCAAACTCAGGGAGAAAATACTGATATGTCACTATTAAGTATGGTATTTACCATGATTTTTTGTGTGTGTGCATATGCTTACCACCATTAGAGAGTTGCTTTCTTTTCTAAGTTACTGATGGTTTTTGTCATGAATAAATGTTAAACATTGACCCATCTATGAAAATAATCCTGTGGTGTTTCCCTGTTTTTTTTTTTTACTTTTTGTTAATGTGGTACATTACATTTATTGATTTTCAAATGTGAAATCAATCTCGCCTTTCTGCAATATGTTTGACAATGGTTGATGTACGTTGTTTTTAAGTATTCTTGCATTTTGTTCGCTAAACTTTTGTTTAGAATTCTTGTGTTTAAATTCAGGGTGATCTTGGCTTGTAGTTTTGGCTTGATCTTGTCATTTACTTTTTTTCTAAAGTCCTTGTCAGATGTTGTTACCAGGTTTGTATCAATCTCCTAAAATGAGGACAAAGAAAAGGAATCCCTTTTTCTAACAACGGTTGATACAAATTGATTCATAATCTTCAAAGAGTTAATAATAGTTTAATCTACATTTGGTTGATGGTCGCTGCCTTTTCTGCAATCATTCTCATTGATTTTGATTAAACTATCTTCCTTCTTTTTAACTTAGCATGCATTAAAAATAGGTTTCTTTTCATGAGAACAGAGTGTTTCTTGGGGCTTGGTAAATTTTGGCTCATGATTAAACGTCAAATTAATGGTTCACATTCTTGGTTGGATACACATATGCAGACTGTTTGCCATTTGGTGGTTGTTAGATTTTTGTCATGAGTGGGAGGCGTTCATTGATATATTTCAGGAAACCATGACCCATAAAGGAGAGAAGGTGGCTGTAGAACCTGAAAATGTGTTTGAACGTCCCAGGGAATCTGACAGTCCTTCATATCAGAAAAGGCAGAAGATGGCCCTGTCGGCACGGACAGAAGGAGCAGGAGACGGTGGTATTGGACGCTCTGCCATGTCTACGGAAAAGGGTAAGTCAGCCTGTCCTCGCCTCCTTTTCGTGCTGTATCCAGTGCAGCTGGCCTCCTGCCTCTTACCCTCCTGTCCTTGTCAAGGTCAACAGTTTTGGCTTGCATTCCCATAAATTTTACAACAGCATTTGACAGTTGTTCACTTGCTCCTTCATGGAAACCTTCTAGGATTTCCATTTTCCACAATGTGTACTTTTAAAATTTTCTTATCCTTACTAGTGAGCCCCTGTTTTCTTTTTCTTTTCTTTATTTTTGAGACAGAGTTTCAGTCTTGTCAGCAAGGCTGGAGTGCAGTATTTCAATCTTGGCTCACTGCAAATTCTGTCTCCCAGTTCAAGTAATTCTCCTGCCTCAGCCTCCCGAGTAGCTGAGATTACAGGCACCTGCCAGCATTCTCAGGAAATTTTTGTATTTTTGGTAGATATGCGGTCTCACCATGTTGGCAAAACTTGTCTCGAACTCCTCTCCTCAGATGATCCCAAAGTGCTGGGATTACAGGCATGAGCCACCACTTCCGGCCACTATCATTCGTTTTTTCTACCTTTCTTTTTCTTCTCTTCTCTAAACACTGTAAATATTCCTTGAATCCCAGCATTTCTCTCTCCTTCTATTCCACTTTGCCATGATGAGTCACATCTCCATGTCTCCCATTATTGCCCCCATCTAACGCACACCCTCCAGCCCTGCAGCCAGGTCATCGTGTTGGCAGGTAAATGACATCATGCCACATCACTCCTGAAAATCCATCCCCAACTCTCCTAAGCACTCAGAACAGACCGTAAACCAGCTTTGGTCTGCGAGGCCTTCTTCACCCTCTACTAACACGGGTCCTATTCATCTCCTGGCTCTCTCTGCTTATCTCCTTCACACCATAGTGCCCGGTCCATCCTCACTACAGCCCATACCCTTAGACTCATTGCAGCCTGGAAATCCCCCTCTGCCTCTGCACAGGTAGCCACACTTCTTCCTCCAATCCCTGCCCAAGGGCACCTCCTGAGAAGGCCCTGCCCAACCAGTGGCAGCTCCTGGGGCTCCCTCTGCTGCTGTCTCCCACAGGCCTGTGGATGTCTTCCCCACCACCTGCCTAACGCTGCTTTCTTTCATTTCCTCATTACGTATGTACTGTCTGACTGCCCCTTGAGAGTGTGAACTCCACAAGGGCAGAGAACGTTGCTCTCTGGGCTGTTTACTACTGATCCCTAGATCCTGGCATGCTGCCTGCCACAGACAATGAAGAAATGAAAGAGGTGACAGACCTGGAGTGGAAGGAAAGTCACTTTTCTGAGGCAGAAAGATGAAAGAGGAAGATCATATGCTAAACGGGATTTTAGGTGATGAGTGGGTATAGAACTTTCAGCATTAACAGCTGCCTATATTTTCTCAGAATATATTTGACATAGAGAGGAGACAGGTTGAGGTGTATCCAAGTTTTCCGGCTTCCAGCTGAGTAAAGCGTGGCAGTTTGTATGTGAACCTGAAAAATCATGATATCAAGTGAAACTTGCTGCTTTCAACTTATAAAGCATAACAAGCTGACACTAACAGATGAGTACCAGGGACCTGTGAATGTTTGTTAGAGTTATACTGTCTTACTTGGTTTCCATATGTATTTATAGAGCCAGAAACTAAGAAATGGTTTTATTGTTTTATGTGTCCTGGCCTCAATTCATCAGGCCTGGGATTTCCCCCTGGTATACCTCCCATCTATGAAATAAATAATTCCCTAGAAACTGAGGAGCACATAGATATACCCAGAGGGGTGATAAAAGACACATTTCCCACAGCTCAACTTCTCAGTTCGGTTTCCAGATCTGTCGTTCATGATGTCTATGTGGAGGGGAAAGAACATGGTGAAACTCCAACTGATGGCTTTTTGTCAAAATTTGTTCCACCAGAGCTTAAGGTAGGAGTTGGTATTCCAGCCAGCCAACTGGATCCTCGGATTGATGACTTCACTGGCATCAGCAAAGATGGGCTGGTGCAGAAACCTGGTAGAAATGCACTTGTAGAAAGAATCATTACCAGCAATTTCTCTGCAGATGACCTAAAATGCAGAGAAATACTCCCTTTTCTAAAAAGCCGAGAAGAAATTAGTGCTGATATAAAATACCAGTTAGTGAAGGAAATTCAATGCTTTGGACAAAGTAAGTAGTATAAGAATGTCTGTTTTAAAAAAATTGAGGAAGTCTCCCTTTCTTTAATTCAGAAGATATGCATGTTGTCTGTTGAGGCTAATTCCTTGCCAGAGTTGAGTTTACCCATAATTTATGGTAATTCGTCTTTGGACTAAAGCACAGTACACATTTTCTTTCTCTTTTCTCACCGGGTTATGGTTTCCAAGACTTTCATTCATAGGTAGGTGCAGGTGTCTTTTTTTATTTTTTAGATTTTGTATGTGCAGGTATCTTGATTTAAGCATTTAAAACATTTTAGCCCATGAAACAGGATTAGTGAGGTATAGGTTAAGCAAGATTCACTTCTATTCTTCTTTGTATTTGATAATACTGAAGATTTTTTTAAACATCTTCAGAATATGAAAAAATCTTCAAATTGCTTGAAGGAGTGCAAGGACCTATAGAAATCAAAAAACAATTTTTTGAATCCAACATCAAGGAAGCAGCAAGGTAGGTAGAGACAGGAACTGTCCAATTTCTTTAAGCACTCGGGTCCAACACAGTACTGGCGGTGAGCATGGGGGAACGGCCTGTGCCTTGAATTTCTCAAACCTTGGCCCTCACTTATACTTACGTCTGTCTCCACAATTACTTAGGTTAATGTCGTCTGAATCTAACTCATTCTTTTAAGCCTATGGAGAATTCAATCTTACCATAGTCGGAGGTAGACATTGTCCCTCAATTGACACTCTTTGTATTTGCTAATTACCTCTTTTTAAGAAATGTGTGTAGGTACATAGCAGATGCATATATTTCTGGGTCATATGAGACATTGTGATACAGACAACAATGTGTAATAAACACATCGAGGTAAATGGGGCATCTAACACGTCAAGCATTTATTTTTCTGTGTTACAGATAATCCAATTATACTCTTGTTATTTTTAATGTACAATTAAATTATTACTGGCTGTAGTCACCCTGTCATGCTATCAGATAGTTTGTATGTATTAATCATCTGTAGTTCTGCCCACCCCACTAACCTTCCCAGCCTCTGGCAGTCCTCCGTTCTACTCTCTATCTCCAGTAGTTCAGTTGTTTAAAATTTCTGCTCCCACCAATAAGTGAGAACATGCGAAGTTTGTCTTTTTGTGCCTGGCTTATTCCACTTAACGTAAGGACCTTCAGTTCCATCCATGTTGTTGCACAAGACTGAATCTCATTCTTTTCTATGGCCGAACAGCACTCCTTTGTGTATATGGACCGCGTTTTCCTTACCCATTCAGCTGTTGGTGGACACTTAGGTTGCTTCCAAAGCTTGGCTACTGTGGACGGGGCTGCAACCAACACGGGAGTGCAGATATCTCTGCGGTGTACTGACTTCCTTTCTCTTGGGACTATACCCAGCAGTGGGATTACTGGATCATATGATTGTTCCATTTTCAGGTTTTTGAGGAACCTCCAAACTGTTCTTCATAGTTGTCATAGTAAATTATATTCTCAACAAGAGTGTATGAAGCTTCCCTTTTCTTCACACCCTCGCCAGCATTTGTTATTGCCTGGCTAGACTACCCCTTACCATGCAGGTGCATTTCTGTCTCCATGCTGACTGTTACTTCATCCTTCTATCTCCCACAGTGCTTCCTACAGCATAGGTTCTTTGGCTCTCTTTTGGTTAAAGACACGTCTCTTTCTTTTCAGGTATATGAGAGGAGACTTAATTCCACACCTTGAGAAGAAACTGGAAGAAATGACGTCTGGCTACTTGTCCAAGAAGGAACATCAGACCCTAAATGCATAATCTCTTTAATGATTGAGGTGGAAAGAGAATCAAATTGCTGTTTTTTACAATAGAGTAGGATATGGCTGAAGCCTCCTAGCATGTGTTAGTGAATAAAATGGCCTCCCAGAGGCTAAGAAATTTCTGTCAGTAAACATTGGTCTTTTTCCCTAAGCATTTCATTTGAAAGGATAACTTATTTGTTGGTTTGTTGATTTTCCCACCTGTGCTGGCAGACATTATTGACCCATCAAGTAAATACTATTACAGCGGTGGTTTCTGCAGCAGCCAACATTTGTTGTAACTGGTATTTATAACTGCCTTCTTTCACTACCCATTTCTCTTTCCCTTTGCCCTGGCGAAAGCATGTCAGCTGCTCATGGTGCTTGGTCTGGCAGAATGACTCAAACCTTCATTACTGAACAGTCTGAACCATTAGATGTCCTGCCTAGATGGGGTTGCTGTAAGTTTTCATTAACTCTAATCATAAAACATGGGAGTACTAAGAAGCTCTCTAGACATATCGGACATACTGTTCCTTAGCCCCTGGTGTAGTAGGAACCCAATATTCATTTTTCTTTCCATCACCCAAGCCAGTAGCAGGCCCCCTACTTTGTCTCTTGGTTGAGAGGAATGTATAGTTCAAAGCGGTCAGTTTGCAGACACAACTTTCATTTGCTCTAATTTCCATTAACTCTAATCGCAAAACACAGGAGGACTAAGAAGCTCTCTAGACATATAAGACATGCTCTTTCTTAGCCTCTGGTGTAGTAGGAACTCCATCTCCCTTTGATTGTCATTTTCCGTCACCCCAGCCTGTAGCGGACCCCCTTCTTTGTCTCTTGTTTGAGAATGAACTTTCCAAAGGGATCAGCTTGCAGACACAACTTTCATTTCAATGGAATGATTTTTGGATCCGCTATTAAAAACAAATCTCTCAATTTGTAACTAAGATCTCTAGTCCAGCAGAGCCAAATGTTTGCAAAAAGCAAAATTTTACTACTAGATACCCAGAAGTAATAGTGAGAGGAGGCCCTCATCTTGCCTCTTTCATTCTTGAAGACATAGATGTGGCTATAGAAAAATAGCTCCATATACTTGATGCTGGGATACAGCATTGCCACCTCCTAGACTGTTAGCCAAGACCCTTAAGGCACTACCACAAAGCTGGAACTACAAGTCAGGCTTTAGAAGATCATTCCACGGTTCAATTGAGCCAGCCACTTCAGGATGGTGAAGTACATCACGAGACTAGTCTAATTGGCTACCATAGGCCTATTGCCATACTTCATTTCCTGTAAAGTGAGATTCCTGTTTAAAACTGGTACAGTGTGGGATACCACGATGGTGGACACAGCGTTTCCTAATACCACAATGTTTGTTTTCTTGAAGTACCATAGGTGAGAATGAAAATCCATATCCAGAATAAGTGTCCATTTGAGCAAATCAAAGTGATGACCCTTCAATTGTGGAAGCAGATTCAAGAAATCACAGTGCTATCTGGAAGCGGACAGACCACTCTGGGACATGGTTTCATGTTGGGTACTCAGTGTTGGTCTCTGCTGCTGGCAGATTGAATAGTGAGCAGTGGCTGTACTGACATGGACCTGGGAAATGAAAGTTGATATTACCAAGACCATGGATAACCTCTATCTCAACCACCATAATCATGATGCACGGTTACTGTTTATAAGATGGAAGGGTGCACCTAAGGAAGTCTGGAGGTGATTGATGATAGCATCTGGAAACCAAAGGAAGAGGTTGAGCTGTGAGGTAAGTGCATTTTATGTCAACCCCACTTGTATATCCCACTGATACTCAGTTTCTAGGAAATTATCCCATAAAGCAGGAGAATACACCATATAATGATCTAAATCCCCCCCAAATTGGGACCAGGAAAGATAATTCAACAAAATCACCTTATTCCCTTCATGATACTACACATGCATATGGAAACCAAGGAGGACACGGCAACTAATGAAAAAACACACACAGATGCCTGGTAATCATCGCTGGGATGCCAGCTCCTGCCGTACTCTTAAGCCCTGATAGAACATTTCACGAGACCTTCTCCATTTGTGTTTGGCCATTCTTCCTCTGCTCTTCACGGACATTGTGATTCATGATAGAATGTGGAAACCAAATGAAGAGGTTGAACTGTGAGTTAAGTGCATTATGTCAACCCCACAGGCATATCCTTCTGATGGTCAGTTTCTGTAAAATTACCCAAGAATGCAGGAGAGCATATGCCAGGCAGCCATTTGATACCCCTCAAATTGAGGCTAGAAAAACTATACAACAAACCAACCTTCTACCCTTCATGAAAATGTGCCTGCTTATGGAAACCAAGTAGGACGGAACAACTAAGAAGCAGACATACACAGATCCTGGTCCTCGTGGATGAAACTCCAGCTGCCACCATATCACCAAGCCATGGTGGACCAGTTGATAAGACGTTATCATTTTGGGGTTAGCGGGTTTCCATCCTCTGTTCAAAGGAAGAGGTTGAGCTGTGAGGTAAGTGCATTATGACAACCCCACTTGTATATCCCACTGATGCTCAGTTTCTAGGAAATCGTCCCATGAAACTGGAGGATATGCCAGGTGGCCATCTGAAAACCCTCAAATGGAGCTCACAATAGATAATAAAACAGAACACCTTTTTCCCTTCATTACAGTATGCGTACATATGGAAACCAAGCAGGAGAGTGCAACTAATAAACTAACATACAAAGATATCTGGTACTCATGGATGACACACCAGCTTCTGCCCAATTAATAAGTCCTAATGGAACAGTTGACAAGGTGTCATCAGGTTGTGACTGGCCGTTTTCCATCTTCTCTTCACAGACATTGTGAATGACACTAGCATCTGGAAACTAAATGAAGTGATTGAGCTGCAACATAGATTTTTTTTCCCCATACAACGCCAGAGGGACAGCTATACACAAATCAGTTTCTAGGGAATTATTTGTATCATCAAACAGAAGCATATACCACGTGGAAATCCCAGATCTTGCCATCAGAGGTCAAGTGAGATCATACAATGAAACTACCTTTTTACCTCTTGGCACAATGAGTACATGCAGTAAACAAGTAGGACAGTAGAACAAACATTCACAGGTTTCTTGTACTCATTATTTTGTATTATCTTGCTGCCTTTTACAATTCTAACTTGATATTATGTTTATAATTCTCCTATCGATGCCATGCCATACACAGCAGGAAGCCAGATTAGGTGAGCCCTCCTTAACCTGGCTCCTTTCTACCTCAAGCTTTGAGAAAACAGAGGTGGCTATTAGAACTGAACATTCTATCCCTACTCCATCATCAAACATTCCTGTTTTTATACGATTCTATAGACCCTTCCCTTTTGTCTAGAAAGAGTGACTTTCTTTCCACTCCAGATCTGACATCTCTTTCATTTATTCATCATCTGTGGTAGACTGCAGGCCAGGATCTGAGGATCAGCAGAACAGCCTATAGAGCAAAGTTGCCTGCCCTTGTGGAGCCCAGCCAGTGTCACTCATCTTTGCCCTCATCGTTAGCCCACAAATTTTCGGAGTGCCAACTATCCCCAGGCATAGTACAGATACTTGGAATGTCTCACCTCTTTTACTCCTGCTGAGGAATCCACGCAGTAGAATTTGCTCACCCCACTTTACTGGTGAGGAAGTTCAGGCCAAAGGAGATGGGGAGACTGAGACCAAGTCCCAGTGTCGGTAGATGGTCAAGTCCAATCTTGACGGCTGAGGACAATAAGACAGGAACACTGGAGCCAGCCGATGCTTTTAGGAGCCTTGGTGAGGGGGGATGACACTAACGTGTGGCCTAATCCCCCTTTCCCTACTCCCATGCCAAATACAACCTGATGATTCTCAAAAGAGCTTTTGCTTTAAAGTAGGTCTCCTCCGAAAGTGGAAAAGCATGGTTCCCACAAGGTTTTGCCCGCAGATGTGTAGCAGGTCCACGAATATTCCTGATGTTCTGCTTAAAGCTGATGTTCACAAGGGGGATGTCCAGTGTATGGAATGCATTCGTCTCAGAGCCAGAATGAAGACGTTTCTGAACAAGTTGTTACAGAATGTAAAATTATGTATGCAGAGATCTTTCCATGCGAGAAAGTTCCAAGTGCTCTGCAAGACTTGTGAGGGAGATTAGTAAACGTGATGCCCAAGAAATGTAAAAAGGGGTGTATAGATGTTTGCCTTTTCACAGTGTCTGTTATGCAGCCAGCAGTGGGCTCTGCAAACCTGTGTTTGAACCCAAAGTGGTAGTGCCTGCATCAGAAGTCAGAAAACCACTGTGGGTTTTTTTCTGAACTGGAAAGAAGGATTTAGGATGGGCCAGTGCCCAGGGGACACGGGAATCTGTCATCTACAAGGCCAGAGTTTGATGGCAGGTCCTAGGTCCTCAATATTGTGTTTCTTAAGCGGACAGCTGAGATCCCAACAAGCAAGCTTACTGGAAGAGTACAGTCCAGGTGGTTCTCCCTGGCCAATCTCTTTAAGAAACAGGTAAGAAAAAGGAGACACAATGAGCAGGTTTGGGCCTCCAGTGGAATAATATTTGCAAGGTTATAGAAATTCCAGAATTTAGAAAAATACATGAAAGGTTTGGTGGACCCCAGATTTTACAAGGTCCAGAGGCACTGGTCAAGGAAACTGAGCAGAAGCGCAGTCCCAAACCCAGTCAAAAGAGAAGTGCTTTAGGGAATGCTGTGAGTGCGGGCTGAGGCCTCATCCCCTGTGCATCAGCTAGCAGGTTGGCAGAAAAACCAGTCCCAAGCTGAGGCTTCTGGAGGACCTGGAGGAATCATGGGCTTCTGCCTTGGCTGTCTCAAGTCCGTGATGGGCAGGATGGATATTGTGGATGGAGGCCAAAAAACAAAAACCCAAACCATAATCTTAGACCTTTCAGCCAAGAAGGAGTGATGAGGCAATCACAGAAAGTGCCGTTAAAAGAGCTTTGCATAGTGAGGCCTCTGCTGCATATTCCCAACCACACGTGGGGACACCTACCTGTTCCTGTCCCATCCATCCCTGTGCTGAAGCCACTCTGACCTCTTTGCTGTTCCTCAAACATGACAGGGATGTGTCTTCTGCGGGGCCTTTGCAGTTGTTCTTTCCTCTGCCCAAATCAGTCTTTCTCATTTTGTCCATTTTTCTTTATTTTATTTAAACATTTTTTATAGAGATGTAGTCTTGCTGTTGCTTAGGCTGGTCTTGAACTCCTTGTTTCAAGCACTCCACCTGCCTTGGCCTTGCAAAGTGCTGGGATGACAGGCGTGAGCCACGATGCCTGGTCATCTTTTCTATTTCTCCTTAAATACCACTCCCTCGGAGCGACCATTTTGTCATCCAGTCTAAAGTAAGACCCTCAGTGAGTTCAGCCCCTTATTTTCATCACAGCACTACAACTGGCCGTCAGTCTATCCATTTCATGGTTCAGCATCTCATTCGTGGGCAGGCATTGCTACCTAACTGCACACTACCCATTCCACTTTCTTCCTCTCTATTGGAGCACTGATTTTGTTTTGGGCATACTTTTAAAAACCGTTTTCCATTTTAGACCCTTTGCAGTGTGGGTGGTCCTCTGACACAGCTGTTGACAGTGAGATGTCATCTGAGATGGTCTGGGAAAACCTCTGCTTTCAGAGCCACCCCTACCTTCTTCCATTTCTCTCCTTTTTATATTCCAGGAAGAGTCGCTCACCATGCCTGGATGTGGAGAGCCGTACTCCCCTGCCCCCACTTCGTGCTGTGCGGAGTCACACTGGAGCCCGAAGCACAGGGGAAATGTGCACCTCGATGAACATGTTTTCATAATTTTTTAAACAATTAGTGTTTCCAGGGCATTAAAGTTGTCGCAGAGATATTGAAATACCCTCTGTCTCTCTTTCTGTCTCTCTCTCTCTCTCTCTCCGTCTCTCTCTCTCTCTCATATATATATATATATATATATATACATACATTATATATATATATGATGTATATATATATATGTATGAATGTGTGTGTGTGTATATATATATATATATACATATATATATATGTATATATTGAGACAGGGTCTTGCTCTGTCACTCAGGCTGCAGTGTAGTGGCACAATATGGCTCACTGCAGCCTCAACCTCATGGGTTTGAGCAATCCTCCTACTTCAGCTTCCCAAGTAGCTGAGACTACAGGTGTACACCACCATGCGTGGCTAGTTTTTGTATATTTTGTAGGGATGGTTTTGCCACATTGCCCAGGCTGGTCTTGAATTCCTGGACTCAAGGGATCCGCCTGTCTGGGCCTCTCATAGTGCTGAGATTATAGGCGTGAGACACTGGGCCCATCTGAAACATTATTTTAAATTGGAATTTTTATTTATGCTCCAAATAGAATTTATTAACATCTTACTTTCTGGCTCTAATAGAAGCAAACTCATCATACTTTGAAAATTTACTACTTTGTTGATCTCGTTTTCAGTGAGAAGAATTGCCATGTGTGACAATTTCTCTTGACAAAATGATGATCTGAGGTGATTTTTTTTCAACCTCAGCTTACCGAAAGTCCTTTTGCAGGATGCCACTGTGAATGGTATTGTTTAATAAAAATTTTAGGGCTAAATTTGGATAAGACTGTGCAATGGGAGATTAGTGACTCAGTTTTACAAGATCCAAACCTGATGTTGATGTGTTACAAAGTATTGATACTAGGTTCTGCTTCAAACTAATTATTGTAGGTGAAAATCTACAAGACCTATCAACCAAATATTTACAAGTTACATCAGTGGCTTCTTTTGTAGATCAGATGTATTCATAGGAAGTAATATTTCTCCATGTAAAGATTCCAAACACTGTTTACCTTGTCATATCTCCATTATTACTATGAAATTAGGACATCTGTAAACATCTTACTTTCTGTTTGAATTGTAGTTTTCCCAAAATAATCTGAAGTAAGATCTATATTCTTAGCTGGTGATTTGGACATTTCTAACTTCTCTACTTTTCTGTTCCCAATGTTTTCAAATCAAGGAAATGCATTCTTTTATCTTGTGAAACTTTCACCTCCATGAAACATACTTTCAAAGATTCTTTCTTCCACTTGCTATAAACAAATGTAGCTTTGCTTTCTTGTATGTGTGGTTATTGGGGGTTTTTTTTGAGACAGGGTCTTGATCTGTTGCCCAGGTTGGAGTGCCATGGCACAATCACAGCTCACTGTACCCTTGACCTCTTGGGCTCAAGTGATCCTCCCATCTCATGCACTCTATTAGCTGGGACTACATGTGTGCACCAGCACACGTAGCTAATGTTTATAAATTTTCTTAGATACAGCATCGTATCATGTCGTCCAGGCTGGTCTTGAACTCCTGGGTTCAAGCGATCCACCCACCTCAGCCTCCTAAAGTGCTTGGATTACAGGCTTGAGTCACTGCACCTGGCCTCCTTATGTTTTAAAAAAATTATAGAGCTTTATTAACTGCTTCTACTTGGCAGAAAACATTATTAAACAAAAAAAGTTCCACGAAATTTTGTAATCTACATGTGACAAGCCCCTTGGTGCTTGGCATACTGTTTTATGTCATTTCATGTTTTGTGTTTTAATAGTTGATAAGCATCATTAGTTAGTTTCTAGTGTCTCGATTGCCTGTTATCTTGATGCCCAGTATATCTTCACATAAATATATATTTTCCAGAAATACTTTAATGCATTATT